CTAAACTAGAGAGGTGAAAGCAGAGATGGAGGACATAGATAATGTAATATATTAGGAATTAAAATCAATAGGAATAAATACGTAGTGGAGTATTATAGCAAAAAAGGAGTAAGGCATAATCAAGGATGATGGTCAGAATTGATTAACCATACTGTTTTACCTATGCTCCAGAATGTATACAGTAGACTTGTCAACAGATCCCAAGGAGATGGCAGCCATTGAGGCTAGAAAAAATCGAGAAAAGGATCGACAGAGCCGATTCTTCAATGTGCGGAACCGAGTCATGGGGGTGAGTGGGCAGCGGGGACTATTTCTCAGGACCATAGGGCTGGAGATGAATACAATGGTGCCCATTACAGCCTTTCCCCTGATTTGAGTAGGCTATCAAGCTGGAAAGAAAGGAGAGGAGTAAAATGCACCTACACTGCAGGCCTGGAGAGGGGGTGTGGAGGGTATAGGGGAAGAGACTGGATGAAGAGGAGCTGGTAACAACTAACTCATCTTGGGTCACCTCTGGACAATGTGGCCTGGTTCTCAAAATACAGGCAACATGGAGCCAAAAGAGGTCTAAGAAAATACTTGGTATTGTATATGCCCAAACTGCCTCTAAAAAAACTAAACCAAATTCACTTCATCAAATTGGGTCAGACTCATAGCGACCCCTTCTTGGGTTTCCGAGGTGGTATCGCTACGGAAATAGATTGCCCAACCTTTCTTCCAAGGAGTGGCTGGTGGGTTTGAACCACAAGCCTTCTGGTTAGCAGTCAAATGCATTAGGTACTATGCCACCAGAGCTCCTAAACTGCCTCTGGAGGGTTACTAAAGAAATTGGTAACCTGAGTGAGGGACAGAGACTAAAAGGATACTAACTCTTCACTAAACTGTGTTCCCTTTTATATTTTTGAACATTCTAAATGAATTGTAATCAAAATAAATTAGTTTTAAGGGGAAAAAGATTGTTGGATGGGTAAATAGAGGGGAATGCAGCATGGTATTCTGGAAAAGACACGAGACCTGTGTTCAAGGGCCAGGTCAGCTGTTTACTAGATGTGTGTCTTCTCTGAGCTCCAGGCTCCTTGTCTGTAAAATGAGGCTAAATAAAGTTCTGAGGTGATAATTAACATATGGTGGCAGCTCTGAAAACCACAGCATAGTGCCTGATACAGGTAGTTGGCTTAGGGATGAGTTGTCTGATTGAGATCAACTTGGCAAATGTTTCCTCAGAGCCTGCTCTTGCTAAGCACTGTCTTGAGTAGTGGGGATAAGGCTAATCTGTCTTATAGAATGTTTCACAGTCTAGTGAAGGAAATAATAGATACAGCCAAACCTCAATATAATGTGGGCAGTGGATCCTACAATCTGTGGGAGTAGCACCACCCAGAGGGGTGAGGAGAGTGAAACCTGAACTGGTCTTAATGGATGAACTTAGAAGACATTATGCTGAGTGAAATTAGTCAATCACAATAGGACAAATATTGCATGAGACACTACTACTGCAAAAAGTCAAGGTTTACACACACAGAAACATTCTTTAAAGGTTACCAGGGGTGGGGAGGAAGGGAGGGTAAGTCACTAACTAGAAGGTAGGCAGGTATTAACTTAGGTGAAGAGAAAGGGAATATACAATAAGGGGGAAGTCAGGACAAAATGATCAAGGCAAAGGAAGACACTGGGAGGAACACAAGAATTAAAGGCAACAAAGGTAAATACTATTACATACCTGTGGTAGTTATGTTTGTGTGTCAACTTGGCTGGGCCTGGTTGAGTGGCTGGGCAGCTGGTGGCAGGTATTCCCCATGATGAGACTGGCAGTCAACTCCATGGTGGGATCTACCACAAGCAGCTGAGTAGCTGCCTTTGGGATGTGGTCTGCTTCCTGTATATAAGGAGAA